TGTAAAAGCGTTATGGCAGATCAAGAGGAAAGCTAACATGCTAACAGCTGGTATACAGGAAACCGTTGCCGATTTGCAAATCACTATTTCAATTCTTACAACAACACTAATCAAAGAAAAAGGCTCCTACATATTTACACCTGTTTGCGTATTTTTGTGCTCTCACCGTCACACCTAGCTCCTTAATATAAATATGGTTAATCTTATTTCACATTTGTATGAATGCGATTTAAAACACTGCCTGTTCAGTTAAAATGCCCTTCTAATATGTCTGTAGATAAAAAAAAAATCCCCCTAATTAGAGTGTAATAATGTTTGGCTTGATTTTTGGCTTTGGCCTGAACACAAAAAAAAACAGCTATTAGGTGAGTTTTTCAGTTAATAAGGGAGAATAGGTTCCAATACAATCTGCAAATAGGTTACTCGGCGAGTAGCAATCACTATTTGAGGGTACAAAATACAAACAAAGAGGAGCATCTTTGAAAAGGGATTGTGTTTGACCAGGACTTTAATACATAGACAAGCATACACTTACAGAGTGGGTGCTGGTGTCATCTGAGACAATGCCTGCAGGTTCCGTGGGTGGTGGGGGGGCCGAGGCGTCCATCTGAGAGTCCAGGCTCGTGGGACTGGTCCCCAAAGGGGACCGTACAGTGACACTAGGCAGACGCTTGGGTGTGTTTTTGATTGCCTGACGAGCTGAAAGACAAGGAGAATAATATTTGAGTCATTAAACTTTCTTTTTATCTTTGAAACAATTAGTATATTGATTCGGAACAGGTACTAATATTCTAACTAGAAATGCATTGGTTCTGACAACTAAATTTGACAATAAAGTTGTATTCAATTCAATTCAGTTCAATAAAGTGTAACCAATCAGGCATTCTCAAAACTGTTTCGGCTGATTAAAACAAACAAAAAAAAAAGTCAGGTACAACAAAAAGGCCATCTGGGGTACAAATGAGTCACTCGCTGTGGCGACCCCTGATGGTGCAGGTCGAAAGTCACAAGGGCAACAGATTTCAAAATTCTGTACTTTTGCATGCAAACTTCCGGACTTCTCAGTAAATCATTAAATCACATGATTTGTGACAGTTGAATGAATATATGTGTATCATTCTGATTCTTTATATGCTGTCATTTTGCCAAATCATTCCCAGAACATTATAGCGCGGTCATGAAGCTCATGCAAAGAAAGACCAAATCCGGATAAACCGATTGACATTTTGCACTGCCCAACTATTAAACGTCACCTTCACCAGGTTGTACATGTCACACACGGTCTGCATTTAGCTTTCTTAATCCATCTGGGATCCTTAGCCAACCACTCTTTCAAATTGGCATTCATGAGGCAGTCATCAGAGAATGTGTATGTAACCATTGTAAGTTCTGACAACAGAGAAGATCGCAGAAGCTGCATATTTGTCATATTATGCGCTGTTTAGAAGTCCCCTCAGAAAAAGAATAGAAGAGCTCATTACTGGTGACAGATGGTTATCGTCTTCAAAACAGACAAGGTATTGAATCTTGAGGAGACAAAATGACGCAAGGCTGCCCCATAGTCAAGAAGAGATGCAGTTCAGTGTCCAAGGAGTAAAGAGATTTGCTCTCAGGGCTGAGAGATTTATTATGTAAATCTGAAAGTGCACACTTTTTTATTTAATGGATGTGTCTTCAGTACAACTCAGTAATTTGCAAAAGCTTATTTCTAAAACCTGTTTTTTTTTGACAATTCTCACCTTGATATGCCATTTCTGTTGCTTTTCTCTTCTGCTCTGCCTCCTCCTCATCCTGCTTCTTCTTTCTGTGGCAGTAAATTGAAAGAAACGCAAAGGAAAAGTGTGGATGCTTTAACAAAGTAAAGCAATTAAACTGGATGAACTAGTCTTACAATGTTATCTCTGCCCACTGTTCTTTCAGCTGGGGGTCCATGTGACCTGTCTGTATCAGATCTACTTCCTTTTTCAACTTCCTGCAGACAGAAATCACAGATTGGGTGAGGGGTGAAAAAGTCGCATCATAAATTTTTAAAGCTTCCTTTAAAGGTTGTAGCTACCTGTATTGTTCTTGCGTGTTTCGTAGTAGTTTTTTCAGCTCCTCTATCCTCTCAGTAGTCAGTCTACGAACAATTACATCTTCAATGGTCTCAACCACCTCCCCCTTCTCACCACGCTTACGTCTAGAACAAAAGTCACGTTCAACACAAATTACAAATGTGGCAAACGCAACAACAGATCATTGTTTTGGCATTTTGTCTGTGTGCATGTGTTTTTCGGTACTGACTTAGGGGCTTCTGTGGCTTCCAGCAGCTCAGAGTATTGTGAGGCACAATGCTGAAACATTATGAGATGAATAAATAATCCCTCATGTTGAGGACATCGATTAAATCCAATGCTACCAGCTCAGAAGACAATAGCCGGCATCTCTTACCTTTTGTGAGAACCAGTCAGGTGGTCGACCGGGCTCAGAGAAAGGCTTGATGGCTCTACTTACAGACACCCTAAATGTATCCAAAGAGGAAAAGTCACTTCAAGTTTAGACAATCGTACAAAGTGATATTCTTCTAAGATTAGAAACTATGTTCATAAATAAAGAGGAGGGACATTGAGTTATTGGTTTACCAGTTTTGGTCACCACTCCTCATAACAGAGGAAGCCAGGCACAGTTTCTCCCTGACTGACCATGGCTCTGTCGGCCCCACATTCAGAATCTTATGTTCTGGAACAAAGCATAGCTACAGTGAGCACTGAGTACCAATAAAATGTTCAGAAGCGTTGTTATAAACTGATTTCATCAGACTGACATTTTAAAAAATGTATTCTGAACAAATTTGATTATGTTTGCATATGAAGCAATATATGTAATACAATATGTGAAGGGCGGCCCGGTGTTCCAGCGGTTAGCGCATCAACCTCACAGTGCAGAGGTACCGGGTTCAATTCCAGCTCTGGCCTCCCTGTGTGGAGTTTGCATGTTCTCCCCGGGCCTGTGTGGGTTTTCTCCGGGTATTCCACTTTCCTCCCAAATTCCAAAAACATGCCTGGCAGGCTGACTGAACACTATAAATTGTCCCTAGGTTTGAGTGTGAGTGTGGATGGTTGTTCGTCTCTCTATGCCCTGTGATTGGCTGGCAATCAATTCAGGGTGTCCCTCGCCTACTTTCCAGAGACGGCTGGTCCCAGCACCCCCCGCGGCCCTTGTGAGGATAAGCGGATCAGAAAATGAATGAATATGTGAATGCATATACAATTCTGAAGGAATATTTGGACCGCAGTGAACAACAAAATTGTGATATTAAAATAAAGTCATTAAAAAAATCAAGATAATAATACATTTACAAGACCAAAACTGAAATACCGTATTATAAAAAGTTTAAACTATATTATGACTGTTGAAGAGACTTAAGTGTAAGATCCCAAACAATGAATTCGTCAATGTTTTAACAGCAACATACTCATCAATGTACAGTTGGTTTGTTGAATGTGATGTACATATAATTGATCAAATCGAACATTAACCAAGTAATATATGGCATATGTCTCAAAAAAACAGGATTTACGTCAGAACTGTAATTTTTACAGCCACAATTAAAAATAATTACTTGACTGACCTATGCTTAAAGAAATGTGATTTTGGCGAGAATACATTTTTATTGCAGTTTTGTTTTCAGTGACCGTTGCAGTCTTAATTTAAAAGGGAGTACAATTAGAATAAATTGACATAAACACATAGGGGATATGTGCCTCTTGAGTTAAAAAAAACCCAAAAAAAAAACACTGACTCATTGACGACCTGCGTTTTGGGTTATTTACGTCAAAATACTACAGCAGACAACACACCAAAACATTCAGCATGACTATATAACAATCCAAAACTAAAAACTAAACGTAAAGCAGGGTGAGTTGATGTATTCATTGTCCAGTTTATTTGTAGGTGGCTAGCCTAATTGATACGACTTTACATCCCGTTTAAATTAGGCTGTATTGCTTGAAACGGAATCATAGCAGTTAAAGTGACCGATTGAAAGGGGGAGGAGAAATTGCAGAAAGAAGAGGCAAATACGATAAAGGTGCGCAAACGAACCGTCGACACACAATCTGCGTTAGCTTGGCACTGTTATTACGGGGGAATACTATGGTGAGACACAAACAGCCACGCTATGCTACGTTTCTTTAAGCAGATCAAACTCCTATTTTCAACTAAAACAAGACAAAAAACAAAGCTTGGGGGGTATTCTCTTTACGTCTGTGCTCTAAACTACAAAGAAAAACCCCAGAGAGCTCCAAAAACATTACTCACTGCCTATGCCGCTCGCCATTTCTTTTGTAACAAGGCCAAGGTCCCAACTTCCGCCGGACGAATTTCAGTAGTACACAAAGGGAACTCGCCATAGACATAAAATAACCCCGCCCCTTGGAATGCTTCGTAATTGTACGTAAACGTCACTGCCATGTTGAATGTGTCAAAGTGGCATGATCGGCGCCGACGTTGCGACGTTAATTTGCTGCAGCGAGATGCACCAACTTGGCGGCCCGGCGGCCCAGTGGTTAGCGCGTCGACCTCATCTGTGCGTCGACCTGTGTGGAGTTTGCATGTGCTCCCCGGACCTGCGTGGATTTTCTCCGGATACTCCGGTTTCCTCCCACATTCCAAAAACATGCATGGCAGGCTATTTAACACACTAAATTGTCCCTTAGTGTGAGTGTAAGCACGGATGGTTTGTCTGTGTGTGCCCTGCGATTGGCTGGAAACCGGTTCAGGGTGTCCCCCGCCTACTGCCTGAAGACGGCTGGGATAGGCTCCAGCACCCCCCACCCCTCCCCTTGTGAGGATGAATCGGTTCAGAAAATGCATGGATGAAGTGGATAGAATACTTCTATCTCAATTAAAGTTGAGGCATTATCTCTTGCTTATTTTCCACATTGTTGTTTGTTATGACTACACCTGCGATATCCGAGCCGGGTGAAAAATGCAAAGATGAGAAAACAAAGATGTTCACAATCAGTTAAATATTGGCAGTCTTTATTTCAACAAGACTAAGAAATGTTTAATATACATTTTTTTCTTACAATTCAACATCTATCTCATCTTGTTTTTCCATAACATTTAGGAGATACTCTGACATGTATAAATCTGTTGTAATGTTACGGCCTCTTTCAGAGACATCTAAAATGGCTGCTCTTTATTTACACTTCTCTTATTCTTTTCAGTTGTTCACACATTCTCTCCTCAGAGATGATTGAGTCCATTCAGTTTCTTTGTAGGCCGAAGACAGATCAAAGACTACCAACACCTGTCCAACTCAACTTCGTCCCGAGACTGAAGTTGTTTTGTGGTTCAAAAACACGTCATCCTGCACCGGGACCAACTCCTGCCAGCTGGAAAATGCTCCTGCGGCCCGGCCCGCAAGCACAGACATTTACCATCATTTTCCAAAGCACTTAATCTGAAAGTTCGTTTTTTTTGGAGGGGTATTCGTCACTCAATGCAACTCTTCTACATGAGCGGAAAGACTTGCATAAGCACTAAAAGAAATGTTAGTAATATACCATGTCGGTCAAATTAAAGTACAGCAATGCCAAATTCAATTGCAGAAGCTCAGGCTTAATTATTTTAAGTAAAGGCTTCGTGATTTTAAACTGATTGCATAGGAGTTCCTTCAAAGTGAGATTTTTAACAGTGATGTCCTCACTGTTTCATTCTCAGTCTTCATGACTGGACTGCTCACTTATGTGGAAGACATTTTCATGTGAGCTTACAATCAACCTGTCAATTTCAAAACCAAACAGGAGGCAAAAGGCGGTGACCAGTATTTTCTGCCAGTCTTTACTGTGGACAGATCTTGTAGGTCCATCAAGGTACTTGGAAAAGCCACTTAAAAACAAAAAAACAAAATCTGAAAATTGCATATGTAAAACCCTAAAATGTAAATGAAAGACTGTGATGTTTAAGTGACAATGAATGTTGTTAATTATGGATAGTCTTTGTCAGTTTCAGGGAAGATGCACGTACTGTAAGTTACTGTACAGTGTCACCTCAATTGTTGAGATGAAATGAAAAAGATAACTCAGAATAATGAAATGAACAGAAAGTCTTGTGTTGTGCTTTTTGGCCTAACAACATATGACACAAAGGGGATTTCAGCACCTGACAAACACAATTTGAATAAATCAAATTCATTTTACCTTTAGAAGTTGCCAATTACTCTACGGATATATGATTGATCCCCCCCCCGCCCCCAGATTAAAAAAACAAAACAAAACAAATCTACTGCACATTGTATTAATTTTGGTTGCAATTGCGACAAAACTTCAACATCATCCATGAGTTGAAATTATGGGCTGTGAGGTTTAGGATTGATTTTTTTTAAATGGTTCACGAGGAGTCCAATTATACCGAAAAAGGCCATGTATGAGGTACAAATGTGCAAACAAGTTGCACACTAGCCAGTTCAACCATCTAAAAGTGGCATTCAAAACCCACTGTAGTACCTAATATATATCTTCATACCAAAAATAGCTATAAAAAATACAGCACCTCTTCAACATAAAAACCCTGTATTAAAATAATCTTTTCCTTTTGATCGAAGCACTCTCTTTTGGTTCTCTTGTCTAGATGAATGTGTGAAACACATTACTTTCAAACATGTAAGACTGTACAAAGTCAGATCTTCAGTCACGAACTGAGTTTACAGTACAAAAACAGGGGCATTTGGGACTTGTCAGCTTTGCCGTCTTCAGGGATAACACCGGGAGAGTCCAGCTCCTTGTCAGGCTTGATCTCCATTCAGCGGGGCGCCAGCCACAGATAACATCTCTACCAGACACTTTCAACTCCAGAGTCACTTGATTGCACTGACAGAGAGAGCATGTATGAGGTATGACCTTACTACAAAACATCTGAACAGAGAAACTTAGACGTGAGACTGTGATTAGGCTCAGAGCCGATATAAACTGTGCAGGTTTGGACTCAAAGGGAGCCCTCAAAGCTCTTGTGAAGAATGATTCCACCCACTGAAGAAAAAAAATGCTGTAACTTCTCTCTTTGTATTGACTGTATGAAGTCATGCTGTAGCCCTGACACAACATGCTATCTTTCCAAGGCAAACACAGAACAAAGAGCCGACACTGTTTCCCTAAGTTCGGAGAAACAAGTCGAGACTCCCCATTCCCAGAATTTCATACTGGCTGTTGGAGGTTCATGCATAAATGCACAGAGATTCACAGTTTGCACACAGAGTGATAAATGACTGTCAGAAATGAACGCTCATTATCACTGCTCTAATATAACTACTAAAACCTATTTTTTTTTTGTTTTTGCAGATGTCTGTAGGATGGATGGACACCAGTGATGAAGAAGGTCTGTTCCGTCCTAGATACCATGTGTTGGTTATATTTTGTAGACGGCACCATCAAAGAAGGCACACACTGAAGTATGAGAAGAAACTGCACGAAATAAGACACACATAGTTTTCCTAATGCTGCAGGCACAACCATAGCGTAGCTCCAATTGAGCCAGAAGGAATCAAGGTTTTAGTTAGTGGGAAAGGTGGCTTTCTTGGGATGAGAATCAGATTGTTGTACACCGTAGTCCTCGAAACATGCAAACAATTAATTAAAAGTGAAATTATTGTAATATTAAGAAGAGCCCCCCTCCTCCCTCCCTCCCAATGGTGGACTGTCCGAGGTCCTGAAGGCAGTCTTGTTAAAGTCTTTCTGACAGTTTTCCACTGAACTCCATCGTTCTCATTCTCAGTCATTCTCTTCATCTCATGGCCCAAATACTTTTATCTCAAGTAAGCAGTAAGCAGGGCCAGCCCGCAGAGCGCCAGTGCCACGCTTCCCTGCAGGGTTACACCAGCTGATGTTTCACCGTGCACCAGATTAACCCGAGGATCCACCGGATTGGGAGGAGTGGAGAAGTAGATGTCCGGATCCATGTCACAGGATGGAGAATCGCAGCCGCTGCCACTCTCCTCTCCGCCGCTGGCTTCCTCGTCTGAGTGCACAGCGACACAGAAAGTGATGTATTTGCACATATCCTCATAGGCAATGACAAGTTTAGCATTCTCACCGTTATCAATTGAGATATCATTGCCGCTGTGCGCAGCTCTCAGCCAACTTGTCATTTCCTTCAGAACTGCAATCTGGCTTCGAATCACAATGTCTGGCTTTGTGATGTCCACATCCACGTCGGGGTTGGACACCTGATTGGCCAGCCCATTGCCAATGACAACCGCCTCATACCTATGTGACAAAAATCAGCAATATTAGCTGGTTTAGCAGAGGTGGTGTCTGTTTACTATGCAGTACAGTGAAGCCCCGTTTATTGAGGGGGGGGGGGCACGGGTGACAGACCCACCCAGAACTTTTTTTAAATTCTACTAAATCGCATTTTTCAAACACATTGTAAATGCATTTGAACACAAAACAACAAATACAAGAATAAACTGTGAATAAAAATGTAATAATGTCTGGGTACATCTTTGTGCCTTGAAGATGCGGCGCCTGTTGGGGTTGGTGTATTGTCAGCGAGCCTGCTTATGAGTCTCTGGACATGAGCTTTGGCCGACAGTAGCTCCTGCCTCAGTTTTCTCATTGCATGAAAAAAAGCATGAAGTGTATCAGTAACTGTGGCTCCCCTTTCCCAGACGTGAGGGCATTCAAATAAGTAAACACAATGTAAGCTCAATTTAATGGACCCGGAATCAACAGACTCCAGATTCAACGGAAAATATTGTCCAGTCTACTCAAAATGCCCCTTTGTCCAGCAATTGTCTGTTAGTTACAGAATTGTCTGCTGTTGGTGCTATGGTGCAATCCACAGGCAGAGACCAGTACAAGTATTTTCTTGGTTGGGCCACTGTTAAAGATCACAGCTATACAGTACAGATTATATTTCATTTACCTGCTTTTTGCTGTTCCATTCCAGCAGTCATCACCAGGTGCAATTCTCTCACCATCACAAACAGTGTCTGGCAATGTGGACCAAAATTTCTTGGCGTGTTTCAACTTCTTCTTTACATCACTCGTCTGTTTTAGAAAACACAACTCAAGCACTGCCTCACAAAAAGACACACAGTGCTCTATATCTATCATCTTAAAACTTACCAGTCTATCTAAACTTGTTCCAGCAGCCGTGGTAGGTCTTGCGTCAGGGTTATAGGGGCGGAAGCGACCAGTGAAGACCGTGTCCTTGGCAGAACGTTTGGAGCGGAATTCCATGCTCGGTTTAGGCTGGCCACATCCATGGAATACCTGCCATCCAAGGAAAAAGATTAATTACTATTGAGTCTCAGTGTATTTCCTGCATCTGTCCAATAGATGGAAAAATACTGACTTTCTGTGAAACTTGCATGCTGTTCTCTTGCATGTTCATGATAGCGTCGGAAATCTTCACATCAATGGGATCCATGACAGACTCGAAATTGAAAGGACCCTCCAGCCTCTCAACCAGAGCGAGCATAGCATCTTAAAACAATCGGACAAACTACAAAGTTAGAAATCGCTCATGGAAAAGTCCCTTCAACCACCTCAAGCATTGGTGTTGCGAATGATGTCCACTAGGGGGAACTAAAGTCAAAATCTGCATCGTACTGTGGCTGTGAATTCCAGGTGGCTCCGACACACAACAGTGGGTAGATTAATGGTCGAATGTGGTGCAATTAACAACAAATCTTCACCTTGTTTTGTCACAGCTCCAGACTATCACAGCTACATTTTAAACACAAGCCACAAAGCTGTGCTATTAAATAGTTTTGTTTCATCATATTTCATCTGTATGTCAGAACAGCAAAAGAATTTCAAAAGTGTTTAGCTTATCATACAGAGTTCCACTATAAATATAATGAAACGGATGTGTCTTTGTGTCTACTGATAGATCGACATTGATCAGGAAGCTGTGTGTGCAGAATGGCAGTCGACTATGGTGTTTCCATGGTGAGTTAATGCAGTGTTATCCCAAACTTTACTGGGCCAAAGCACATATTTTAGATGAGCCAAATACAGTGGAATCTCAGGGTACGAACGACCCGTTTTAAAAACAATTTGGGTCATATTCAAAAATGTTCATAGAAAAAAAAAATTCAGACTATTTTCAATTTCTAACGGTCTTAGTATGGATGTATGAAGGATTTATATTGTGCCTCTACCTGCGCCGCAGGATGGACTCTGAACAAAACGCATTGCTGTAAACTAAAAATTTGTTGTCAGCTTCGCAGTGCGAGGCATTGTTGTGCATGTACTTCCGCCTCCACATCCTCAACCAACCATCATCACTCATTGCCTGGTGGTTTCAAATCAGTGAGCTCATGTAAACAGTCAAGAAGCTTCAACCAAATATCTTTGGGCCACTTATGTTCTCATGGCTATACGGGTAGAGAAATTTCGTCAACTCTGAAAACCAACAGCAGTGTAATACAAAGAAAAAGGCATGGAGATTCTACACAAGATTTGAGGTACTCTGCAGGGCCTTACTATCGTCACTTACCAAGAAAGTTGTTCCACTCTGTATCCAGGTCTGCCTGATTGGCCAAACAGCCCCGCATCACATTCAGACAATAATTCTGGCAGGGCTTCAGTGCCACTTGGCCCGAACAGTAGGGACAGTACAACATCTTCATGGCGGCTCGCACACAGCTGGGAGACGCGCTGACCTGCAGGGCAGTGTGAAGACAAACATTGACGCAATAACACACTTGGACACTGACTATTTAGTTTACAAAGTATTATTTCACAAAACTGTATAATCTAATCATCAATTAATCACTCTGCACAGTGAAAAAACATGTCACTGCAGAAAAAACAAAGTGGTTTATGTTATCAGACTGTAATGGAATCGGAGCCAAGAATGATATGTGTTTAGAAAACACAGCGCTGCATTCCGAGGGAAACGTTTATCGCTGGCAAAAGCGCACCTCTTTAACTCTTACCGTTGAAACTTTGTGGACCACCTCCGGCATGAGGTTTAAGCCGCGCACAAATGTGCGCGCGGCGACAAAAGCGCGCGTCAACTGGATGCGGAGCTTGCGAGGCACGTCCCCAAAAGGCTGCAGCTGCTCGGTGTGGCGACTGACACACTCCATGTAGGCGTCACTGAATTCATATTGCACGTTGACCAACCGGAACATCCTCTCCAGGAGGTCAGCCCAAAAGTCTGACAACATGGACTCCAGGTTTACAGCCGCGCTGCCGGACACGTAGTACCGCGTCAGGGCCTGGAAGAAGTTCTTGAACAGCTCGGCATTCTGCACGTACATCAACCCATAGGTTCGTACAAACATGCTGTGCAGTGACTCCTCTGCATTTTTCAAAAGTTCCCGGAAGAACTCTGTAAGGGGGTGGAAGACAAGAGGAGATTTGTGTCATTAGTGAACAATCAACCTTCTCTTCGTGCCATTTAAAATTCTGACCATTATGCAGGATTTATTAATTGCATCATTAAGCAAGTGAGAAAAACAGGGCACCATTTGGCCGCATCCAGCAGAGCTGCTGTTGATTCAGCATCATTTAAGAATGCTGTATCAACGGTGCGACATAAGTTAAGCGTGATTGATTTTTTTGACTGGTGTTCAGCCGAAGCATCTATTTGTACGCATTTGAAACCACGGAAGGTGATAATAAGTAACAAAAAAAAAAAGGATAAATCCTTAGATATTATAGACCCCGCTCTTGTAGGAAGATACTTTAATGATGCTTTTTTTCCTTTTCTTTTTGATAAATCAGACAATCATTGAAGTTTCTAAAACTGCCAAAAAAATCAAAATGTAAACGAACGCTATTGAAACAGTCCACTTTACTGGAGTCCTAAGCAAAAGGATCAAAACCTGAACAATGCGGGCTGTTGGAAAATGTTTGGCTCAGTATCGCAGAAGGGCCATTCAGCGGTGACATCGCCTTACATCAAAACTGACCATCATCAATGGCATTTTTTTCTCTTGTCACATTCCATTGGCTTTGGATTCTCCTGGCTTCTCTTGGGCAGTCCTTCAGAGGCATTTTTTCAATAGGATTACTGAATAATGAGAACTGTTTCCCCTCCTATATACGGACCTGTGTGCCTTTACCCATCCCAACATCTCCCTCCCTATTCTGCTTTCACTTCATCAGTTCCTTCAGCGACCGCTCTTCAGTAGACAGCGAACAATGACCTACTTCATCCTGAGGAATGTCCACCCCCTTCCTCCTCCACCTACCCTCAATAATCCAGTCCCCCTTGCCCCCGACTCTCTTAATCTGAACAAAATGAGAATTCCACAGAGTCACTGAAAAACGCGTCGCCTTCAGCCGTGCATGCATGCAAGCCGACGCTCACAGCCCCCTTTCACTCATCTCCTTTCTTCCCCTCGCTGCCGCGTGCAGACAAAACTTCTGTCCCACTGCCGTTTCTCTGGGTGCCCTATGCTTGCCTTTGAAATGTAAAGTTCCCATGCTCTCACAGAAGGAGACACTAAACGTTCCTTGCCACACACACACATGCACACACACACGCGCGCACACACGCACACGCACGCACGCAGTCCCCTCGTAATGCTGTCACTTCCACTCCAGACTGACATACTAAAAAGAAAAAATGGGGAAGGGGAGGAGTGAGGGCAGCACGGGGTGGGTTAAGTTGAGGGCTTTTTTAACTCCAAATCCCCACTGTGTTGCCAAGGATACCGGAAACACCGCAGCCCCCAAATCACATGCACAGCCACACACAGCAGATGACAAGAAACCAAGTTGTACTCTTCACTGACTGAGATTAAAATAAAGTGTTCAGCAACAACCATGGAATTTTATCGTGCCAACAAGTTCAACGTCAGAAAGAAGAGTAGATCAGGGTCTTACATCAACAGTGGCCCGGGGCCATTAAGTGACCAGTCGAAGTTCACTGACGTTGACCCGACTGGGCCAGTAAAAATCACAAATAGTAAACAGGAATTCAATAAGTGCTTTAAGAGTAAATACTGATTTAAATTGATCAATCATCATTGATATTTTTACCACACCACTAATTTTTTTGAGTGTCAGGCTACCTCCTTCCATAAGGAATGGCTTTTTTTTTTCAAGCTCAAAAAAGGCCAAATGTTGAAAAGAAATCTGTTAGATGTTATACTGCAAAACAAACTCAAAAGTAACTACACATCAATAATCCTTTCTTACAAAGCCTTAAATGTTATGTCTTCAAGATGCTACATATGAAATACTCATTGAAATGGTTATCTTGGATAATATGTCATGAATCTACCGGGGCCAACACAACATGGGTCAAGGTGGCCCAACGACTAAAAAAACTTTATGTAGGACCTTGTTGATGGACATGAAGAGGAGGCCGTTGGGAGGAAAGGAGGAAAAGGTGGTTTCCGTGCTATGAGTATGAGCAACAACATACAGGCATCTTGCAAAGTTGATGAGATGACATGAGATGTTGCAACAGGAAAGGTTACACACAGCAAGTTCAATGTAGAACGACACAAATGGTCAATTCTATCCTCTTCAGTCCTCCCTCCAGCCATTCCGTTGTCTCGCTACACATCTTGCATAGGAGCCCGAAATGATAAACAATGATCTTAATCCATTACAGGAACAGGACATCCAAAACACCTCCCACTACACCCTCCCATTTCCTCCTCTTTGCACCACCACCTGTGTTCCCTTAAACTCTGCTCCGCCCAATCCCAACCCAAGAATTAATTGCACCCCTATTTGTGCCAATTAGTCCTTGCTTTTCTCATGGGATGTGATTCCGTCACTCCTGCTGCTGGATGTCTGGCGGAGGGTGTCTCTTGTGAGAAGCTTTAATCCACGTTCTTAAATTCCTCACATAAGCCTGCTCTGCTGGACAGGGTCAGAGTAATAAGGCCGGCAGACGGGCTGAGATCATGGTAAAGGGGGGGAGAACTATTTCTGTCTCCTAATTGGCCATGACTTCTAGCTCCAGGCACAGGGTGAGAGCGTGTCTAATCACAAACTACCACTTCCTGGATTTGTTCGTGTGTAAATGCGTCTTAGTCAGGTCTGTTTTCATTGACATTTCTAGCTATGTTTATGCAGAGATGCACAGCGCTGTTCATGTCATCTTCATGAACAGTTAATACAAGGATAGGCACTTTGTGTGTCAGCTCCAGGGTGTCTTGGGAGAATAACGAGTCAATAAGAGGACAGCAATCTGAACATGTCATAAGCGGTGAGAGGAGTCAAATGGTGCAAGTGTAAGAAAGCGCAGCGGGTCTTTGAAAAGAGATCCCACATCTAACAGTTTGAATAGAGCCACAAGCTTCCTGTGCCCATTGGGGGGGGCTATAAACTATAATTTCACTGTCAGCTCTGGGCTGACACCTCCCGGACAAATTTTGTGACTTTTAAAATGGACTGTTTGGGGTGGATAATCAATGTGGATCTGTGTTTGAGTTCTACTTTATCAGAAATTGATAATCACGTGATTTTCAGCTGATTCGGTATCAGGTGAAAAAGATCGTATTTATTATATTTCTAAACATTTAAAGGTCACAAAGCTACAAAATAATCCAAATGTGCAAATATCTTGCCAAATAGAACAGTAGCAGCTTAGTTTTATATTTCACAATGTTTCAGGGTTTTTCAGAACATTTGTTTAGTAGCGATGCAGTTGGAGTAATACGCAGGCACACACACGCACACGCACACACACACACACACACACACACACACACACACACACACACACACACACACACACACAGACGCGTCACCTCCGATGATCACAGCCCTCCTGCAGGCAGAGACAGAGTGATGGGTTTGTCTTCACAGCTTGTTTGGAGGGAGCGCCAAGCCGAAAGATGTTTCTTAATAATAGTTTGCCTTGCCTGATTTAAAGACCCCTCCTCACTAACCGGCATGGTCAAAGAGTTGAGAAAGCTGAGAGCGCGACAGATGACTTCACTTCAAATTGAAGTTAAACGAGTGTAAATGTTTTGGTGACAAGCAAGCTTGTCCCCCGCTGGTTGCATTTAAGGAGGTCAAAGATCAATAGTACCGTTTGTAGTTGAGAGAAGTCACGCACGTACCCAACAACGACGTAGCTGCGTGGACTTGTCATTTTAGTACTAGAGTATTACAAATAGAAATTGGCACTGATTTGGTGGAATGGTCCATATAATATAAATACATGTAGCAAGATAAAACAGATACACATTGATGTACGTTCTTTTCCTCCTTAATGCATTGCCGAGATATTAGATCGGGACTCGGTATCGGCAGATACTTTAAACCACAGAGTGCCCCAAAAAGCATGATCAGGACATCCCCAGTAAATAATTTTAAAAACTGCTATTGTATGAAATATAAAAATTCACACAATATTTATAACCTTTTAATGCTTTAAATGATTTGAGAGGATCCATTGAAATGAGAGCAACTTGGACCAGAGTGAGTCCAAAAAGGAGCACAAAACTGGTCAGGGAAGAAAAAGAAAGAAGAAAGAAAGAAATGGAGGAAAAGAAAGGTTTGAGTAGGACGAGAGGGAATGTCCGGAGAGGCGCAAGATGGGGACAAAGGGCAGCAAAAGGAGAAAGCGAGGGGCGGGACAGAGTGAGCTGCCACTGCATTCCGACACGTCACATTCCAGTTCACATCTGGCTGCAATACACACGCACCCTGTTGCTGACAATCCTTCGCTCTTTTTCGCAGACACACAAAATGTAAAGGTCTGTGACCCACATATGCACAGATGTGCACATAGGACATGCATAGCACATCCATAAAGTAACCCGACTTCTCAACATGACTGTTGCATCATCCTTTCCACAGCCTGACTACACCCTTAATCTTAATCCGAGAAACACATCTACCAGAACGGCAGCGGTGGCTTGGGAAAGCGCACAAACAGTCTAGAGCCTTGTGCCACTTCCTCTGTGATTTCGCAGTGTCGCATGTTCCCAAGTGCTTCCGCCCTCCACAAGCGAAATCTGATCCAACTATTTACAGACATATCCACATGTTCGCACACGGAGGAAAAAGGAAGCGCAAATCTGAAAATGTGTGTGGTCCGTCTGGGAGCGTGTGCATCTCTCTCGAGAGAGAAGGAAGACCGGTAGAGGGGGCCGCTGAGTGAGGGCACTGAGATGTTGAGAGACAGGTGGACGGGCCAGTGGACACAGACCAACTGTCTCTGCTGCTCAGGGCAACGCTATGGCAGGTGGGAGCGTCCGTCAAGAAACCATGGTGCTTGCATGGAACCGCTGCTTGTAAGGGGAACACTTGGCCCGCAAATGTACTGTTAGCGTGAAATGTAGCTGGTGTTTGTGTATGAGTGCTCGCTTACTGTCAAAGTGCTCATGCCTCTGTCGAAAGGTCGACTGTAGATTGCTGCTAAGCCTGGAGACAGGGGCTTTGATATCGTAGTGACTCTGCTGGCTCAGCTTCTCCTCCATCTCCACGGTGCAGCAGGAGAAACCCTGCGGACAGACTTTCAATGACGCTCCTGGAAGAGAGAGGGAGGAAAAAAAGCATGCATGTAAAAATACTGTTAGATTATGTGTCACAACAATATCGAATCTCCTGTAAATTTGTTCCACAATGGGGGAACTTGCAGAAAAAAAGGCAGTATGAGACCATCTTCACACTCAAGCATGCAGGTTGCAACACAAAATACTCCTACCACTAGGGGTCGCATGACGAACATGATTAAAGTCCAGTAGACTAGTCCCTGATGATGTCATTGATATTATTCCAGATATGATTAAACGCAAGTGCTTCACTGTTAGTCATGTGAAGGTTCAATTGTATTTCCAGACTGGGACAGCCAAGTAAGGTTTGCGCAGCTTAGGGAAATGTGTCCTTTGTTTTGGTCCACCGCAGCAGTTGGATCTGCATGGTGGGAATTTGCGGTATTTGCATATAATCACAGACCTCCTCATTTGCGGTGGAATCATTCCTCACTCTTCCTTCCCTTAGACAGTAGTGGCTGAGGCGTTCAAATTCAGCTTGAACCATGCATTTGTGCTTTTAACTGGACTAGACTCTTAGGTGTGACACGTCTGCTCACGTATATAAACACGTTATTCCAAATGTTTCAGAAAGAGGAATTTTTACCTTAAACTGAATCGTGGTGGCATCAAAACGTAGTCACTGACAGCTCAGAGCTGCATTATTCTCCTTGCACATTGTTGCAGCTTACGCTCAGATGCATTTTACCCTCCTCACTTATAACCCTATTTTAATAAATAAGAATAAGATAAAAGATTTCATCCTAATGCATGTTGCAGTGGCAAGAACAGAACTTGATTGCCATTTTAAAACAGATCCAAAGAACTGATTTCTGTGTCAGTGTCAATTAAGCAGAACTAGTGGGAATTACCGTAACCGTTTCTTAAAAGTCTTTCACACATAAGTCATGGTCAAGTTTGTCAAAGGTACCTTTTTACATTCAGTTAAAAGAAGAATGAATGTAAAACTGCAGCAGCAATAACGCCTAAAAAGAGAAAAGAAAAAGAGAGAACATGGGGACCCTTTCAGGCCATGTAAGGTGGTGTGTTTAGTTTTCCCCAAGTGGAGGTGCCAGCAAATGATTCTTGCTACTTGCACAGGGAAGAGCTTTATCCTCAGCTTTAAGAGATGAATTTAGTTTTGTAACTGCACAATCGGTTTTGGGTATTTTCAGCTCTTATTCCCATTACGACAAGACAACCGTGGAAAAAATATAACATTTCATATGCTGATACACTGTAAGTTATTTTATAGCCCAATGATATATATCCTGCTAGAGTATTTTTCCTTAAAAATTACATAAAATGAATCACAATTTACTCATCTTTTTTTCCAATGTATTTTTCAAACACATTTTATACTGTGAAAACAATATAATTTCTAGGTAGGGCCAGACCGATTAATTGGCCTGCCGATTAAACTGGTCGATTACAGTCCTTCAAACATGAGCAAAAAGTCCTCGCATCGCTCGGGCAGCCCGTCGCTTCACCGGGCATTAGCAGATGACTGAGCTGGGAAGAAAATAAAGTAAACAGGAATCCCTCCATAGAAGCAAGCAAAGAAGGAAGCTTGAAATAAGAGAATAAATGAGTGAGTTATATAATATGTGAGACATGTTTATATGACACTGCGATATACAGTACATCGTTATATCGCACAGCTTGAACTACAAGTCATAAACTGAAGTGATTTTTCCATCTACTACATTATCACATAGAAAAGTGAAATTGCAATTAAAATGGTCAGAAGGATATATAGCATTGTACTCTCACTAGAGGGTGATTCAAAACAAATATCTGGTGTTAATGAAGACGTTATGTGCAGTCAAAGTTGTTCAAATGGCATCCAAAGGAGGGATGCACCCTGGCGCCATCAACTGGACCCCTCTGTCTGGGATCAAGTCCATGTAATCCTCTAGTGACTTCTCTCACAGTCCTTTCCCCAAAGTCATCTCTCTCCAAACCACGCCCACACCAGCAGGCCCCGTTCATGTACACGTGAACGCTGGCAGCCCCAACTTAAACATATTCACACATCACATCACCGCTCAACACATGGCTCTTTGTACAGGCATGATTGGAGGCACCGGGCGCATGGGGTACACACACACACACAAGTGCACGCACGCATGCATGCACACACACCAAACTTTCAGGTCTTACAGACATCCAACCCCCCACCCTCCAACAGGGGCAACACTGCACAGCACTCAGAAGGGCTATATCCACACGGAAAATAACCCTAGTTACCAAAGTACACAAATAAAAGTGAGATGGTCGATATTTCGCAGGAATGCCCGTACAAATGTTGGATTGTTATCTCAAAGATTCAAGTCTCTAAAAACTCAAGGTTCTTAGCTCATGCATACTTTGGAAGTCTTTTTTTTTTACTTCCTGGTATTTGGAAGTCTTTTTTTTAACACACACACACACACACACACACAAAGCCTGAGGCACAAGACAGCGAGTGTCTGTAGAAGTCGGCATCGTGCAAGACTATCAACATTACTTATTGACAGCAACCTTTGCCAATTATTTTCCTTCAGTCACCGACATGAATAGTCTTTGTTTTGGGTGAACCGAATCATCCTTTAAGGGGCCTCTTCGGACAACAGCTTCCCAAGTCCTCAAAGATGAAACAAGACACAGAGAGAAATCTTTGTTTGGGTGTCACTCTGAAGAGGAAAATAGCCATTTATGGTGGTCAAAACAAGGGAACGCCACCTTGTAAACAAACGTGATTGTGTGCCGTGGCATTCATCAGCACTCCACTACTTCTCTGGCTTTCCTTTGTGGGGAGACCACCATCCCCTTCAAATGGCTCATAAAATAAGACACTTCCCTTTGACATTGTCCTGCCTTTCAAATGCTTCTCTCAGAAGAAGGATGGCGGGGGAGGTGAAAACGCCTCACATACAAAAAACAGATTAGACACCTTGCCGCCCTCTCTGCCTGCCATCATGTGCCCCTGAACCAGACAGACATCAGGTTGCGGCCCCCGCCAACCCCCTGCCCACCCTCCCTCCTCGTCAACTACCACCACCCTACAGGCTTAACCGGTGAGGTCAAGGGTTAACAGCCACTCCTCTGAGAGAGGTCCTGTCCTCTGACAACCCCCTTGTCCATCAGCCGGCACACCCACCACACACAGTAACCCACCGCCCAAACCTCAGTCATCCAGTAATAACGCCACTAACACGCATGCCCCCCACCACTAGACATACTGGCAATTAAGAGTCGTAAAAGTCACAAATTCAAGAAAAAAAATATAAATAGAAAGGCTTATCCCTCAATTCAATCCATTTGAAGTCATGAAAGCCCCTGCGGGATTATTTCTGTACCATCCTGAACTCAAGACATTGCTAAAAACTATTAGTAGAGCTGTAAAAGAAAAAGTGGGAGAAGTTCACATTGCACGACAGTTTGCTTGCTTCAACTGCTAATTGGAAACCGTGCGGCGGTCCTCAGAGCTGACACACATTTGTACATAATAAACTGAAATTGGCCATAAATTATGTACATACCGATTCCAATCGCGAGGAATGTTTGCAATGTAAAACTGTGGAGGCATTTCATTTCAAAACAGTCCGACTACAAAGTGACTGGTAGGCGCCATAGCACCAACTATACTGCCCATGTAACTGAAATCAAAGTGTGACTATAAATCAAGATAACGATGACTCTCGGCTGAGCGTTCACATAGACTGTAAATCTGCACTCCCTACAGACATAAGATTACCCCTCCTGCCTCCACATTTCTGCTTAAGGTGCATCCCTGGGCCTGGATATTGTACAATAAATTTCTATTCTGGTACACATCCAGTCATGCCGTGTCCCATAAGACAGACTGGCAGGCATTTGGAGACTTTTTTTTTTTTTTTTTTGACTGATTGATTGAAGATAGGAACACACAACAAATATTCGTCCATCCATCCGAGCCGCTTATCCTCACTAGAGTTACGGGTGTGTGAAAACCTAACCCAGCTGTATTTGGGCAGCAGGCGGGATACACCCTGAACTGGTTGCCACCAACCGCAGGGCACACTTAGACAAATAACTATTCACGCTCACCTAGGGACAATTTAGAGTGTTTCATTAGCCTGCCATGCATGTTTATGAAATATGGGAGGAAACCATAGTACCCGGAGAAAATCCATGCAGGCACGGGGAGAACATGCAAACTCCACATAGGGCTGCAGACCAGATTCGAACCCGGGACCTCTGTACTGTGAGTGTGTAGATACTGTAGGTTTGTCACAGCGATTGACTGGTTAGCACGTCCGCCTCACAGTACAGAGGTCCCGGGTTTGAATCCAGGCTCCGGCCTTCCTGTGTGGAATTTGCATGTACACACACACACACACACACACACACACACACACACACACACACACATACACACACACAGGTGTGTGTGTGTATATATATATATATATATATATATATATATATATACACACCTGTATTATATTCATTTATATCCCCACCTCCTTTACTTGAAGTCTGGTCTCTAGCTGTCTGTGCATATTATTCAGAGTAAATTTGATGTTATGCAAGTGCCATTCAGTCAGAAATGTATGACCAATCATTATTCTGTCCTCAAAGAAAACAACTTACTTTCACGGCACCATCTCAAAAGGCTTTACTGCGTAGCTTTTTAATGATAACTTTGTAAAAGCCATCATTTCATTCCACGTTGGACGTGTGAAATTGAAATTAAAGCCCAACCTTTAACGAGGAAAAGAATAATAGTTGTTGAGAAGGATCCATGATTGTGCACAGTAACGTATGGGAATCTCCCCCTGGAGTCAATTTTGCAGGTGTAAAACAAAACATGCAAGAGTCAAGGCCTCCATTAGAAACCTCAGAAGCAGGAGCTCAGACTATCATTTCATGCCATAAATGTTCACTGTCATACAGTGTTAGCAGTAGCAAGTACAATATATTATTTCCCCTGCAGGTTGCAAAGATTTCATTCACCTGGTGAGCTGACGGA